CAGACATGACTATAGTTCTCATAAATAATTTTGAAAAAGAAAACTTTACCTTGCAGGACTTTTATGACAAATAATAAAGATGAAAATAAACAAAATATATTCAATAACAGACTGTTTTGAGTGTAAAAAACATCAGCGGTGCAAGACAGCTAAAGATTGATACACTTTAATTTTACTGCTCTAACCTACTGAGCTACCTGCTCAACAGATGTGACTTGGCCCAACTGTTATACAATTATATCCAAATGGAAGTTAAGGGGAGATAACTATAGGAAAATCCAGTGCAGTGGGACAGGCCCTTAATTAGAAAGGCTACCCCCAACACACCTGATATATATAAGGACAACCCACACATTGTACACTCCATTTATTAGGATGACTTGCATGTGCCTGCTGACTGACAATACTCCATCTCTTTACATAGGGTATTAATTTCCTTGTCGAAGCATCACCACAATTTCAATTCCAAACCCTCATTGATTTTGCCAGAGACTGAAACAGATGAAGCCCTTCAACCATTTGTATGAGAAGCCAGCACAAGGTTGGAGACGGTCTGGATAAAACACACTTTTACACTATGGAATTAAAGCATGTACTTGGTCCGCAGGACTGAACGCCTGATAATTACATTCCCGGCCAGCTAACAGTGTAGAGTATGCATCTTCAATGGGTACAACTTCACTCACAATAGGGTAACAGTGTATAAATAGTTCATCAGTAAATACAACAGTAGCTTTCCGTTCTTAATACGGAAATATTTGATTGGGAGACTTTTAACACAATTAAACCAACTGCCATTTTGGTGATAAATTATCATTAGATAAATAGAGTTTACAGGAATACTTACCCTGTACATACAAAGTCTGGGGTTTAAATACATGTACCTATTCCTGTGCAAGCTGGAGGACATTTGCTTCCAAGACTATTGCTGGAAACCCATGTGAAAGATTAATTTTCCAAGTGCAGTTGACAAGTTAATTTGAAGGAAAACCTTTCTGTTTCTAACTGTTATATATTGTAACTTACAGGAAGGATGCAATCAAGTCTTATTAATCATGCTGCCACAACTCACCTGGCCATCCCACTATCCAGACAGACTAATGTTTTAGGCGACAATTTTCTCTTTCCCAATTTAAAAGTGACCCAGCTGTGATCAAGCCCCTTCATATCTCTTGCAGCCACTTATAAGCTGGAAACAAAGTGGCTGGCACTTTTACATTTTCACTCCAGGAAGTTATATGGATTTATTTTTTAATAATGTCCATGAAGAAGCAGTTTTTCAACACAAAATCATCAACTTTGTAATCAATCAGCAGGTAAAGAAGAAACCAACAAAACACCACAAACCCAATTAATACAGCCTGGAAGGATAATTTTGGGTTATTCTATTGATCGGTTCTTTGTATAGAAGATTTTCGACAAAAAAAACAATTCAGAATTTAAATCAAGCATGTATATTGACACATAATCTACACTATCAAAATGTTAATATAAAGATAACCATCTCTTAATTTCCTTTCATCAAAGCATTAGGACTAGAACTAGTTATTTTCATGGCAATACCCAACAGTAGCTAAGCCATGCATGTACATGTTGGTGAAAGTATGACAGTTAGACACGTTATATTTCACATCATCTAAATGTAATATCTGGTCCTTAATATAGTCCCTGGACTCCGGAGTGAACAAAGTTTTATTTCCATTACAGACCAATCGGCGGCGCCGGGGAACACTCAACACTGGATCTATTTCTACTGCTCTTCACTCAATACCACAATTACAGAGTAACAGCCACTGATTAGGGCTAACTAACAATGTGCCTGTAAATTACAGCATTGGCGCTGTAACAACCCTCCTCCCTAAATAGGTTAACTTGGCTCCGTAAATACGACAAGGACGACAGAAACACTGCCACTCAGACACGGTACATCCATCGCTCCACATTCTACCGTAGCGACTCAAGATTTTATGACTAAATCATGACGAAGACTGATGAAATAATCGGACAGGTACCTATCTCTGAAGACCTTGTAGTCCCTGACATTACATTCTCATCACTTAAACACTTGTACTGTAGGGGACATTTTGCTGATGTTGACGGGTTTGTCTCTGTTGTCATGGGTACCTAAATGTATTCACCACAGACATCAGTTTTCTCAGACTTGACATGCTGTTCTTCTTTTAGCAAGGTGCAACATTCTCTTTTCTGAACACAATGCTACACAATTATTTCTTCAAAACAATCAGGAGAGTATTGGAGAAGCTTTACTTAACTTAGTGTTAACCAATTGATCCTTCTTGTGCCTCCAAAAGTTTACATGTGTGAATGTTGCAGGTTGCATGGGTGATTCTTCTTGTTATGGGTCAATACTTCCAAAGGCTCATTTAAAGTAAAATATCACTTGAATATACTACACATCGGTACAGTAATACTCAACCCAGGGTTTAACAAACTTCAATCTAGGTAGTCGGAGTTTGGAAATAAGGGTAAAGTGTCTTTGCTCAAGGACATACAGTTGGAACAAATCCCCAGTCTGCCATGATTCTATCAGCATGTACTGAGGAACATTTTGGAGATGAATTATATAAAACCATATCGTAATTATTCATGTCACTTTCACATGAGCTGCCAGTATTGTGTTTATTGTCCTATTTTCCTTGACTGAAAGTGGCGAAAAAAAGACGAAGCACCAGGCAAAGTTATTGCTAGGCAATCCATACTTTCCCCACCAATGAATAGGAAACATAAAGTTAGGGAAGCATGTTATTGTTTGTGTCCATTCATATCCAACAATGACTAGGGCTGTTCATGTTGAGAGAGGTTAAACACTAGCAGAAGGAAAATATGTAGGACTTTCTTCAAAGGCAATCTGTCACCCTTAAAACACACATTACATACAGAATATTTTGGTGAAAAGCAGTCCCTAAGTAATCAAACTATAATCTAATCAAACCTTTGCTGCATGCCAAACATAACAGCATTATTATATGTAACAATTAGACTTATTTCAATCGCAGTCTGTATATGTATCACACTCCAAAAATGGTTTGATGGAAATTAAAATCTGTCCACTTATCAATCATGATAGCCTGTGGAAATAAGTGTGATGGACAGACAGTCAGACAGAAACAAACCCTATGATACTCTCCAAAGTACTCCTAGGTGATTTATTAGATAAGCCATGGACAAAATGACGCTCTTGCAGAGTGAAAACTCATCCTCATCGTACCTTCTGGTAATACCGGGGTGGGGGCTAACTTCTGGGTCATGTTCTGTTTTGAGAAATGATTACCGTAGATGATAAGGTTTAGTTAAACCAGTACCTCTATAGTTCGTAATATTATTGATTATTACCTGGTACGTGTATAATCAGGAAATATAGTACTTGCAATACAACCTGTCTAAAGTCAAGTCTGAATAACTCTACACTCTGTTAATCTGACCCTATAGCTGTAAGTCTTACAGTTTATATATATGCACTGAACCTGTACACGTACAATCAGAAAAGCTGACGAAATAAATACTGCAAATTATAAATAATTGTGTCTTATTACCTAATAATAGATCACACCAACAAATTAACATTATGATTCAATTTATTGATTGTAGTAGAATTGGCTAACTTTTTATGAATAAAATATGGGAAAACTCATCTATGTCTATAGCAATGATTTTTTCTGAATCTAAATCAGAATCAAGGCACATTGTCATATAATTGATTTGTTACCTAAATTTTCACCCTTTTCCTTTATGAATTGAGAAAATATAGCATTATTTTTATTGATTTTCGGAATATATTCCTCATTGTTTGGTCTCTTTTGGAAAATAGGACACTTTTTAGACTTGTATATAATTTGGCAGTTTAACTGAACAAAAAACATCACTGATTAAATGTCAGTTACATGAAGTCTTTAATAAGACAAGTCTATGACTGTTATCTTTGAAGATTTTCGAATGATTATATACTGTTTTGATCCTGAAATAGGATCAGGGGTCCAATACATCAATTCTGACTCATATTGGGGCTGGGCAATGACAATGAAATAGCACTTAGCATCTATTGAATTTGACATGGGTGATCTAATAAATTATAATTGATCTTATTACTAGGTGTCATTGGGCTTATTTCCAGATAAATTTGGTATGTGTAGTTAGATTACCAAAGATATCTGTAAAGTAAAATCAGGTCATTTTAATTACCAAACATACAATTAATCACTTGATAATTCTTCCACCTAATTTTAGCTTGAGCATATCCTGGTTCTCTACTGCGATCAGTTATTAATAGTCATCCTGTTATTGGCATCAATGAATTTCCTCCACATGAAGCATGTTCTGCTTTCCTTTATTTTAAAAGCAAAAGTTTCTACAAAATTGTTTTCATATTATGGTATGATGCCGGATGTCTAGTACAGTTCTTTTAAGGAATCTGTAAGAATTACTTCCCTTCCATCACACAAAAAGCCATCAAGCCAAGGTGCAAATGTTTACTTCCCTTTACATTAAAGTTACCACCTACATGTTGATCTAGAAGGAATTCCTTCCAAGTCTATGTTACAAACCTAAACTACATTATATAAATATACATTCAATAGTGCACATTTGAAATATTGTACTAGATCTGAGTATCATGTTTGTGTATTTTATCATCTCATCTCTCCCTGTCACCATTTCATTCATTTGTTGTTAGGTAAAATACACATTCAATATCAAACATCATTTGTTGTTTGGTAAAATAAACAATCAACAACAAACAGATGCTTCATTATGTTGAGATAGATAGAATGATTCAACTTTCCTTTTCCATGCATATATTATGACACATTGTTTTGGTACTTAATTACGTAAATTTTAAGATTTTTAACTATGATGTCACAATAGAATTTGTTTATCAGGTGCCTGAATATCCCTGTGATGGTTGAAAACGAACATGCAGCCGATAATATAGAATTGATTGTTTATTTGTGTACATATACATCAATCACAGAAATGTTACTCACCCACTGCAGGATCTTGATAAAACCTCGGGGCTCCTTCAGAGCTTCAGCATTGAATGATCCCATTACCTGAAATAAAAACACAAGATTCATTTTTTCTAATTCTGTAGACTTCTGCAGTTCTCTAGATTTTGTTGTATTTAAGGCAAAACAGGTTTCATACTTCGCTTGCTGTACTGGTACTACTCTTTTAAGGAAGGTAATGCATAGACAAGAATCATATGGCAATATTGAAGAATTGGTAATGGACAGAGAAAACACCTTTATAAACATTTGTATGCACACTTGATGATATGATGTAAAGGGTCTTAAAGGGTTTCGGATACAAATAGATATAACTTTAATAATTGATGCATTGAATTGTGCATTGTCTTCTGTTAAAATCAGAGAATTACTATTCCATTTACAAAAAGAAGGTTTCAATTTACTTTAAGTTTACATAACATATGTTGGGTTAACGTTACTGAAAGTTGAATTCTTATTTCAGGTTTTGTAATAATAATTTATAGTCAACTGTCATGTCCTGGCATTCTATCTGCCACCCATTCTTGATACTCCTGGGGTTACGCCCACTTCCGCTCTCTGCACCTGTGGAACATGTCACCGAACTAGTCTCATCCACAAGGAAGCGCACACTGAGCCTTTGATTTTTGTCAGGACATATATTTCAAGGGTGAGGAGAGCATAAGTGAGCATAACTATTGGAGTAGCGAGAATGTCTGCCAACAGTAGGACTGTCCTGTTACATATATATATATATATAGCTAATGAGCGGGGAACAAGTCTTCACAAAATTTGTCTATTATAATCCAGTGACTTAATAATGTTAAGCAGGGAACACACTTGAAGGTGGCTGAAATAATGAAAATCACCTATACTACATTTGTAATTTTATCATAAATTTAGAAATTTGTAAACAATCAGGATCACTGGAAAATTTGTAAATGGTCAGAATTTGGGTTTCTAAAAGGTTTTGGGATGATATGGGTCATTTTTGGCTTAAAAAAGTGAAAATTTCAACTTGGAACGTTATTGTTAAGTTCTGCTATTAAGTTCATATTTGTTAATTGGGGCTATCTTTCTTGGTGTTGATTTTTCCCAATGTGCATGTGTATTTGCCCTACCATAGCAACAAACTGTGTTGCTATGTAGAAATAGCCAAAATATGTTGTTTTTTGAAAGTTAACATGCAGAAATGAAAGCCTCCGCATGTGACAAACAAAAATTCCTTTCTACAAATTAACACTTGTATAACAATGTTGAAGCATGTCAAATAAATATTTGTTTGTTGCTTGCAGAGGCTTTCAAAAACAGAAGAGCATTTGTCCCGGACATATACTTTTTAGCTGAAATTTCAAAATACTACTGGAACCATCAGGAAATATCAAATAAATTTCAACAAAACAGTCCTGGATAGACTACAGTAGTGACAAATTTTGGTTTGTAAAAAAAAAACAAGCTTTCAATTTTGTTTTCACTTCAAGTTTTGTCCACTCTCTAATTATCTGTCCTTTATATTTGTGACTAACGTCCACTTGTGTCAATACATTATTCTCAAAAATGCTTCATTACACTTCAAATTATCTAATAAGTACATCAAAGCCATATTAAAGCCATTTTGGTCTCTGTGGAGTAAATATTAGATATAGATCAAATTCCACTCTTTTATCCATATGACTGTGCCATAAGTGTTTAAGTAATGTATAACAATTCAGATAAATATGAAATATAAGTAAATTACTAGATGATGGAATTGGATTTCAACAGGGGACACGTGTTTCATATTTGTCTCTTATAGTTACGCTGTTGGTGGACATGTATTGTTAGATAACTGAAACTTGAAGCGAAAGTAAATATATAAGAGTCGACATGGTTGATTGACAGGGTGACGCCTACTTTATGCACCGGCGTAACAAGATGTCAACGTGCACACAACTTTACCAGGGATACAGTCCATACATTATCTTGTATCGAAATAGACATAAATCATTAGCCATGACGTTAAATGGCAATGCTACAATGCGTATTGTATTGCAAATTGTGATGTCTCGTGACCACATTACAAATACACAAGTGACTCAACATGCTCAAAATGTCAATAGGCAAACATTGAAAGTTGCAATATCAGAAGTCAAGCAAGGCAGACGTGAGAGATACACAAGCAACTATGGTATGAAACTCTAGTGATATTAAAAATGAATATTTGGAAATGACAAAAGGGACAGAGAAATGACATCTTTCATGAAAGCTACCTTCCCGACGACGTCCATGATGATTTTTCGGAATGCAGGTCCGCAGCGGAAATGAAACCTCAAATTTCATTGGCCACTTTATTGTTGAGTATATATAATATTTAAAACGAAAACAATACTTTTTCCGGATTTGTTTCAGGTAAGGTATCTTTATGAAAGTGATTTTTATAAGATCACAAAAGTAATGGCACCTTCAAAATTTGGAAATAGATTGAGTATGCCAAAAAGAAACTAGTCTACAGTGCATCATATATTCCTAGCTGTTTCAGTCCTTCTAGAATTCATCGGTGACGGTAATTCCTGAACTATGAGGAACTCTATCTAAATCAGAGATTTATAATGATTATAAATCTCTGATTTAGATATAGAGTTCCTACAGGAATTATGGTGACGGCATGGGCCAAATAGGCCTAGTTGGATATCCAAATTCTAATATAGAGTTTGTTCAAAGGGAAAGGTGCGTAAAACCCATTAATTAGTAAATTTTAGAATTAAGAGGACGTCTTGTTCATTTCAAATTTTAAAAAAACTCCTAAAGTGTGTGTATACAATTATTTTGAACCACGTCACTACTCAAAACAGATACATGTAACAGTAGCCATAAAGGAGACAAACTTGGCAAAACAGTTACAAACCGGGGGAAATGCGCTAACAAAAGAAACACATGTGCTTGAATCGACTGTCAATCACATTCCCTCACTGAAAGTTTGTTTTAAATTGATCATTTATATTAAACCACATTTTAATGAAAATTAATAAGATTCTGTAGATCTTTATCTGGTGTGGGACGATCTATTCAAGACTCAAACATCGATGCTGCATACCAGAAAGGATTTCATCTGGACCATATCAAAACGAGACACGATGTGGGCCTAATGTTTTCTATTTAGAAGATGTTGTAAAAATAAGTAAAGACATTCTCTGGAATTAACTATAACCTTCACTAATTATAGTCGAATATTGCATGAACTATATGATAACAGACCCACTGATGAACATTATTTGTCTCTGACGTACAATATTAATAAAGCAAGTTTGTTAAACCAGAGACAATAAAGCCTCTGGTTAAACGAACATGTTTTAGTATAATTTGTTCCAGTTTTGATTTTTAGGTTCCTAAAAATATCAACCTAAACCAGAGAAGCGTAAATTTTGACGACTTTAAGAGTTAAACAATTGGGAAATAACGGATGCAACGCAAATCTCTTTTTAATGGAACATTAAATGTTAATAGAAACATGTAGAAAAAGACAACAATATGACATTTATTCAAAACGGGATATAAACATACTCCTGGTAATTATAGACCTGTATTATACCGTTTCTACAGTTGGTTCAAGAACGAATAATTATCACGTGTTACGTACCTTATCATTTGCGCTATGATAACACTTAATTACGATAAAACAAAGAAAAACATACAGAAATATGGACAGAAGCTCGAAAGCAAAATTGAAATCATATCATGTTTATGTCAACAAAATTATAGAAGTTTTAATTGGAAACTTACCTTTAGACGTAGCGGTGTCAAAGCAGGAATGCCTCAAGGTTCGATACTCGTGTCGCTTCTTTTTGTTGATGTAGTAATGGAGATCTCCAACTGTAAGAGAATTTACATTTTCTACATTTTCTTATAGGAATCATGATTAAGCTTTCGTGGAACATGGACCTTTATATCATAGAAAACAAATTAAGCTACTTTAAACCCTACGTGCATTCAGTATCCGCCAAGATAGGCCTAACTAACGTAAACATTTATTTACGAAGAATCAATAATACACGATATTCATCAATTGAAACCCGCGACAAAACACTCACTTTTAACCTTTTTATGAAAAAGATCACGGATTTATTGAGGAGTGATATCCAATACCAGGTTTCGTTGATGCTTCTATTTTTTTTTTTTTTTTTGGTAAGTTGTGAAAATAACTGGACGTCTGAAGGTCTGGCCTACAGAAGCCCATTGCAACTGCTGCCGAAATGAAGATAAAACTAATCTTCGTAATAATAACTGCAGTATAAGCCGATTCAACAGATCTTGAACTAAAAACTGATGAAAGACGCGATGAAAAAAGATTACGGAAAACGTTCTCTGTTTTTATGTTGGATTTGAAACCTTGACAAGACTTTAGGTGAGGAAGGATTTGAAATAGCGCGTCGCAACCATCTGTATTCCCATTGAAATTATTTTTGATATATGTCTTTATTACAGGTCACGTATTTACCTATAGTCTGGGTACAGAGTTCAGCTGCTCTTTAAGAAAAGTGATACGTAATCAATGTGTAAATATGGAGTATTTCACTTCTTTCTGCCGTCGGCTATGTTTAGAGTGCTTTTTTTTTACACAAATATGTGTGTAGCCCACGACGAAATAAAGCATACCCAATATCCGTAGTATTTTCCTTATCTCTAATGCATTTGAAAATGTTAAGCATACTGTAACTATTTGTTTACTCGAAGACTTATGGAATGACTTGAAAATTGTTAGTATAAAACAAAACCAATTTGAGAGTCAAAGAAGGAAAAGTATCTTTTGTATAAAATGCATAACAATTTAATTTTAATGTTTTCTAGATAAAAATGATTTTAGGATCCTACGTTTTAGTTTTACAATTACACAGATATCCTTTTAACCATCAACATATTAAGGTTAGGTGTGTGTAAAACGCTAAATACTAGTATGACCGTCCCAAAGTCTCTTAAAGAAAATCAGACAAGTCTGATATAATTACCCTTTACTTTTCAGTTTTGTTGGGAGGAAGTAATATAGATTTTACACGCTGAAATAAGACATTGAAGTAGCTTTCGTGAACAAGATCCGTCCGGAATGATTCTAACAAATATACCCAGCTGTAGCCGCGGAAATCTTTGTGAAAATGCCTACTTTTATTTGGCACGCGATGAAAATAAAAGTAGGCATTTTCACAAAGATTTCCGCGGCTACGAGCTGATTATGTGCTAGCTTTATGTGATAGTGTATAGCTTGATTTGTTGTTTTCTGTTTGTTTTTTTATCATGTTTGTCGCAAAAATAGCGCTATAGCGCTAATGTTTCTATGTTTGATATATTTATATATGCGACGTTAAATAAAGTTTCTTGTATCTTGTATCTTGTTGTTCTTGTATCTAAATGTGTACGTAGTGTTAAGGATGTTAAGACCAAGTGGTCCAATATTACAACGTCTGCAGAGAAGGAGGTTTCCGCCCACCAAATATACAGAAAGGGGACCAGCCCCTTAACCGATGGATTCAACAATAGAGCGGATCGTCGAGATTTTCAAAGACTCTCCAAACTTTATCGGTTTAGATGGCGTTGAATCTCCGGCACCGACAGAAGAAGGTACACATGTATTTTAAAAATAGAATTGACTGAGTAAATATTTTTTATTTTGTTGTTTTAAAAAAAATATATAGAGGAATGGTTCCTTGTATTTGAGTGAGGTTTTATTTTGGGTGGGGGTGGGGGGTGGGGGGTTAAAGTAGAATTATGCAAAGGCAATATCGTGATCAGAGAGACCGGGTATGATTGCTGTCCGATAGCCTTGGTTGGGGAAGTTTGTGATGAGGAGATCTAGAACATTGTCATTTCAAGTTGGGAAAGACCTGTATCATCCAGGAGGTTTGCAAAATCAATAGTGTATTTTTACATGACTTGTTTTAGGTTTCAGGACTCTATTTTTCCAGTCCCAACCTGGGAGGTTGAAATCGCCTCCTATAATGAGGGCTGCATTATCAATCTTGGTAGCCTCTTTGATGGAATAACTAAAGTATCTCATGCTGTCCTCATCACATGTTTTGGGATGGTAGAATGAGTAGATATAGAGTGTTTTACTGCCAACTATATTTACTTGGGCCCATAAGATTTCACTTATTTGTTTGTGAGTTGCATTCTCAGGATTGAGTGTTGGTACTGTGTTAACTAAAGTTTATTTCCCCTTGATTCATTTTTGTTACAATTTTATACAGAACCACCGTTTTGCTTTTTACTTTACAAATACCGTTAATGATATAATTATACTTTGAAAATATAAATAATTAAAACGATAACATACATGGTGTGAAAAATCAGTAAAAGTGATAACTGATCAACAGAAAAGAAAAATGAATGCCCTTAGATTTTTTTATTTAAACACATTTTATTGCAATGGGATTGGGTACATGTTGCACAACTTATACATTGTTCGAAGCCCTTTCCCCACAATTAGTTTTTTTACTTCAATTTAACATGGCAACATAAACTACGTATTATAATAGACCAGCTCACCTACACTAAGAAACTGATGTACAAAATATATAACATAAATATTTAGAAAAGGAATTTTAAAATTGCAGTCGATGTCACAGTTGTCTCCCTTCAGCCTTTACGTTGTCGTTCTATGGTTTTGTTTGTTTGTTTGTTTGATTTTGTTTAACGTCCTATTAACAGCTAAGGTCATTTAAGGACGGCCTCCCCTGGGTGCAAGATGCATGCGTGTAGTGTATGTGTGTGTATATTGGGAGGCTGCGATATGTTCGTGTTTGTCTCCTTGTGATAGCACGAAACTGATGCCGACTTTATAGTGCTACCTCACTGAAACATTCTGCCGAAGACACCCAGCAGGACGCCCCACCCGGTCACATTATACTGACAACGGGCGAACCAGTCGTCCCACTCCTAATTTGCTGAGCGTTAAGCAGGAGTATAAACTACCATTTTTAAAGACTTTGGTATGTCTCGGCCAGGGGACAGAACCCAAAGCCTTCCTCACAGGGGCGAACGCTCAACAAATGGCCAAAAGTGAGGCATTGTCAAGGGAGACATTAGGAAAAAGAAAGTTATTTAGAAAGGAGAGAAGAGATAAGGTCCCAAATTAAAAGACTACTGTCTATCATACAAATAACACAAATACAAGCGAATGCATTACAAGGCCCTATATTGTCCTCTTAACTTTATATTCTATATTACTGGTTCAAATGAACGCTTAGTACTTAATGTCGATATAAAACATTAAATATAGGATATTATCACCGACTTTTTACAATTCTCAATGTTCTTTCATTACTTGAGACTTT